GTCGGATGAGTCATCTCGCGCGCGTTGCACGCACGATGGCGCAGAACTTCCTTTTTTTTTCGCGATTGTCGATAGTTAATGTTGCGTATAAATTGAAAAGATGTAGAAGTCGAGAAATTATTTAACGGAATTTCAACAGTGAAATATGCTAAAAAGCACGCACTTGTAAAATTTGCTTTTGAAGGCAGAGGTAAGAGTTCTACGAATTTAAAGATGCAATAATGTTCAGGAGATGCGGAAAGTTTAGAATTAATATTTACTGCGCGATACATATCAAATATTAAATAAAAATACAATAAAATTGGAATTGTGTATACGAGTACGAGCCTCGAGTGGCAAAATTCCGTTAAAACTAACTGAAAAATATTTCCCATCAGAAGTTTTCTAAAATCCCTGAAGAAAAACGTGATGTATATATCACTCTGTGCTTATATATCTTCCCAAAGGAAAAGAAACATAGAAAACAAACATACATATATGCGATGTTAATTTATGTATATTTTGCGATATATTAAAGAAACATAAAATAAATAATTTTTGGCAAATTATAATTACTTGTGAATTTAATTTGTTCAATTATTCTTTTTCTAACAAAATTAAAGTTTGCGAAATATGCTCCTTTCCTCACGAAATGTCTTCTTATCGAAATTTTAAAATAAATATACGAATTTTACAGAGCCAACTGAAAAAAATATATTATTTTCGCTGGAGATAAGATACTATTTTTTTACGAATTTATATCATTTTTTCCTCTTTGCAAAAAGACGATATTGAAAAGATTAACATGCATTCCAGTGTAAGCTGGGTTTGGTACGAGGGGTTAAATTACGCTCCTGCGCAGAGCGCTCCGCGATCCCCTTCACCCCTGTAGCGGCCGGCAACGTTCTCCACTCTCCTCTAATGTTCTCCGTTCTCCTCGTCGCCGGCGAACTCGTCGCCGTCGTCGTCGTCGTCATCGTCGTCGTCGTCGTCATCGTCGTCGTCGTCCGCATATCGCGCGCGCCGCGCTTAGCTTGCCTTTTCCCCCTCAGTCTTCGCTCGCCGGCCGTTGGCAGAGGATTCCGCATCGATCGCGCTCTCGCGATTGTAGATCTTCCGTGTCGTATACCTCGCGCATTTTTGCCATTCCCATGGGAAGCATGTTAATCCGACGTGAGCATCGCGGGGTCTTCCAGGCCCCCGCGACCGCGCTCTCTTGAAACCCGTGACGTCATCCCGATGGTCCATCTCACCAACATCCTCCTCTTCCCGATCCTTTCCTATCCGATTCCTATCCGATCCTCGTAAGATCGTTCTTATGGATGATATCGCGTCGGGAGTGCACATCGGATTCGCTTTTACTTATAACACTTTTCGAGCTTTTTCATTCTCGAATGTGTAAATTGAAAACTGGGACGCTCGGGCCACCGTTGGATTTCTAAACAGCGGACCGGACTTTTCGGTTCCTGGACATGTAGATGCAAGGTGTGTGTGTAATCGAGATTCTGTGGCTTTTAGTTTCCTAAAGCTGTATAAATTCAAAGTGTTTTTGAATGCGTGCACTCTTGGATTTTCATTATCTGGGGACTTGTGTATATATATATATCGAGATTCTGTGATTGAAATATTTTTTTCAATTTTTTTAGAATCTTAGATGTATGTAAATCGAAAAAAATTGAAACATTTGATCTTTATTCAATCTTTACACATGAAGATATAATTAAAATAAAATAAAATAAAATATTCTTTACAAATATATTAATTGTAAATATTATTCGAAATTTGTAATAAAGATCTTTTTCATACTCCAAAGTACAATTTATATACTTATATTACATACTTATTCAATTATTAAGTTTCAAGTCTTGGATTTTTTCTTAAATATGTCTATTTAAAATACATAATGATAGGATTTATATTTGGATTGAAGTTTTCGCGCGATTTTTGAATGTGTTTATAACATGTTTTGTGAAAATAGATAATAAATTCTTTAGTGAAATCTTTAAACATTATAATATAATGCTAATATGCGAATTTCTGTCTCTCTCTGTATATATAAATTTAATAATCTAATATCTAAATCTTGCAATTTTCGAGTCTTCGGATATTTAATTGAAGCAATCATTTCAATTGCAGATATACTGAATATTTTAATTAATTACTTTAATTATATATTGCTATCGTATGTAGAGAGAATGTGATTGTAATGTAAATGAAAAATCTAATTGAGATGTTTAGCCTCAATTTTTTAGATCCATAAATGTATAAATTAAAAGTAGGACATGTTTGAAGCATTTTTTTAAATGAATAAATTTTTTAATTGACGATTTTTACATTCATTGAAGATATACAATAGGATGAAGATGGAAGGAAAAAGGGGCTTAAATTATCTTAAAATAATAAATAAATTTTCATGAAAATTTATAAATTTAAAAAAAAATTCATTTCAAGATTTCCTTAAATTTGCTTGCACATTTTGTGTATTTTCTGTTATTTTACTATAAATTATCACTCTGATGCAATTCAAGATATTTGATATAGATACTTATTATATAAAGATTGAAATGAGATGAAGGACACGATGAAATTAATTCAGAGAAATTATCGTTCTTTTCGAGGGAATGAAAGAACGCAGAGTATTCGCATGATGGCAGGTGTCGGTGCTACACCTGTTCGCAGGCTGAATGCCTTGGTCAGGTTACGAATAGCGATAGTCTGAAACAAATACTTTTATCTTAATTTTAGTCAGCATGGCAATAAATTATTTTATTTACATCGCAATTTATCTATTATCACTGTCATGTTAGTTTTCAGCGGATTCTAATAAATGTGTAAAGCTCCTTGAACATAAACCATTATTTTTCGCGAATTTTTAATTTTCAATATTTAATGCTATATAATAAAATTTCAATTTTATACACGCTTTAATGCAAAATATATTCAAAGTAGTTAACTAAAACAACAATAGAAAACGACAAAATATTGATACTTAAAGTTTGCTTCTTTAAAATTTTATAGATATTTTTTAATTTTTGCTGAGTGAAAAACAATGTATTTATGAAAAGCAATGATTGACAGAATATTATCTATATTTAGGAGATAGAGATGTCTATATATAATTTATATTTATATATTTTTTTTAGAGTAAAGCTCATTAAAAATGGCATTCGTTTACGACATCAAATTAGAAAGTTTTCGTAAATCGTAGTTCCTTGTTTTTTAAATATTTATTAAATATATAACACTTTAATTATATAAATTCTAATTTAAATTTTTGCTGGACATGTCACAAGTAAATATTTCTTATGCTCGTATAATTTCGTATAATTATTACTGAATAATTTTGCATGTTCATCTCTAAAATAAAAGATAACGTAATGATATCAAGTTTTTCTTCTGGAAAGTTTCCATATGTTGATTTTATGTAAATTAGTATTTCCGCTATTGACTTTTTGCAAGTAAAACGTTGCTTTAGCAACTTTCTCGAACTGTTTGATAAAGCCTGTGTAAACGATCGTATTCGTAGGAGATATCGACAGATTGCGAGGGTATCGGGCCCATCGCTAGTCACGGGGTCCCACTTGCCGCTCGAAGCGTCGAATTCCACAACGTTTACTCATTCGAAAGAACGAACTCTCGAAGACTTCTCGGGGCCGGAGAGAAACTTCGATGGCGGAAGAGAAGTGGGAGAGTGGTTGGACGAGAGAGAAAGAAAAAGAGAGAGAGAAAGAGAAAGAGAGAGAGGAGACAGAGTAACCGATGGTTTAATCGGCCATTGATTCTCACCGAGTATTACTCAGTTCGATCTAATTCAAATAGCTTTTCTTATGATTCAACGAGAGACTTAGATAAATTGAAAAATATATAAAAATTTAGACAAATATAAAAATAAAAAAAAATTTTTTTTAATGCAATCTAATTTACGAATTTAAAATCTAATGTTATTCATATTTGACTAAATTGAGAGATCAAGCTTTTTTAAATTTTAATAATATAACAGATTCAAATTCCCTTTGTATTTTCGAAACAGTTTTGATATCTTAAGAGATATTTTTTGAGAGATTATAAAAAAATGCAAAAGTAAAAACTGCAGAATCCAAGAATTTTTAAGAATTTAAGATGGAGCAACAGGCGCATAATATTTAGACACGACGTTATTTATAAAAATATACAAATCACATGCTAGCAAATCCCGGGTGTATCACGTAATTTCTAAGTTAGTACATCGTCGCTTACAACAGATCTTTCGTAATGCTTGAGACATTGGTCGTCATCCAACTGCCAAATTAGAATTGTAACTAACTAAAAGAATAAAATAACGCAAGGATTCGAGAATTTAAAGACATGACAATCGCGGTGCCGTATTCTTAAAATATAATATTAAAACATGCAAAATACTTTTAGTAAAGTATAAAAATTCAAAGATTCCAAAACTACAGGATACTTTGAAAATTAATATCTGCTTAAACTGAATCGAAAATCATGGATTGTTTATGGATTAATTTTCTTTTTCAAACAGTTTTCTTTTTAATTTAGAATAGAAATAATTGTAAATATGGGAAAGCATAGAAAATATGTAGAAAAATTAAATGAAAAAATATATAATAAAGAAGCAAAACACATTTTTGTAATATTTTTATTTTATTTAATTTTAAAATAATAATCACATAAGAGATCAAATAAGTAAAAGTCTTTTTTGGATTACTTAAAATAGAAGTTATTTATAAAATAAAATTTATTTTTTCATCCATTTAATTATTTCTATTATTCTTATATTTCTTATTCTCAAATAAGCGAATTTTAGATCTGTCAATATGTGAAAAAAATCACAAGTGGTAAATTGCAAGAAATATGAGAAATATGCAATGCACAAGTATGGAGCTTCTGTATATATGGAACTTCTGTATATATGGAGCTTATATTAATTGTATATATGGAGCTTTTGTTAACTGATATAAGAAAAAAAGTTTGACAATAATAATAGAATAATTGCTGATATATCGTAATTATTAATGTTTTAGCGTCAACTGCAGGACCTTGTCACGACGTAAGCATCACCGACGTGAACTCCAACCATCATCATCGTCATCATCATCATCCTGGACACAATCAGCACGATCATCGGCCTCAAGACCGAATTCCATCGTCCTCCTCGATGTCTACCTTGCTATGCTGCGAGCCAGTATCGGCTGGCCGGCCTCGGCCCAATCTGAAACTCGTACTGAATCGCAGCTTAAGCGAGCCAGGACCGAATCCTTGTGCCTTCCCAGCCTCGCCAACCGCTTCGTCGATCGCTACCTCCGTTAGTAACAACAACAGCAATTCCATCGTACCACCCTCGATTATTATCGACGAAGAAACGAATGATAACGACGACGACGTCCACCGTCGTGGCTTCCATCATCTTCACTATCACCATCACCATCATCATCACCATCTTCATCATCACCATCAGCTCTTGTCGATAACTTCGAAGCGTTGCAAACTGGAGACCGCCAGTCTGCCCAACAGCCCCTGTGCGGAAAACGGCACCCTTCATCGCCAGCTGGTGCTAAGCAAGACCCGCGTCGTCACTTCTGGCGATCTCGCTCAGCGTCTCGCGCGTTTCGAACGATCCTCCACCGTTTCGCCGGTGATTCTGGATTGCAGACCGTTCATACTGTATAATGTTAATCATATACGCGGCGCTATCAACGTCAACTGCTCGGATCGTTTCAATCGACGCAGACTCCAGCTGGGAAAAGCTACTCTCGCCGATCTCGCAACTGTTCGCGAGGCTAAAGAATTGCTCAGGAGGAGACAATTCAAGGAAGTCATAGTGTACGATGACTGCACTGAAGATCTGGAACACTTGCCCGCTCAACATCCATTGTTTCTGGTGCTCGCCGCTCTTGTGGATGAAGATCGGGAACCCGCTCTGCTGATCGGTAAGTACTCTTCAACTTTTCTTGATCGTTTGCTTGATATTCTGTTTCAATAGAGTCACTTCATTGTGAAGCTCTCAACTCTATAACGGATAACGAATCGTGAAACGATAAATCATATGAATTTTCTTCTTTCGCATATATACATGAAATAAATTAAACAGGGATATAATTTTTAGTAGTAATATTTCAAAATCATTAATTAATACTTAGAAATTAAAAGTGCAAATATAAACTACTTTTTTCTATTTTTAAAAAATATGAAGTTTGATATTTAACTATTAGTATATAGATCATTAATTATTTTATACGAAAGATGATTATCTCATCGCAAGATGAAAAATTTGAATTGAAACACTAAAAAATTCATTATGTATGTCAAAAAGGTTGTTATCCATACTATATTTAGTGTTGTTAAAATGTAGTTTTTGTCATATACTTTGATAGCCAGATGTATTCTTTGTGTTATCGAATACACAACTGATAGTGGCAAGATAATGGTATATGAAGATATCAGATGATCCATATTACAACAATACAAATTTTTCAATAGATAGTAAAGTGAATTGTTATTTGAAAATATACGGATGAAACTTAGAAACTTCTAAAAATAAGTTTCTTTGTAAATAAGTTTCTTTGTAAATAATTCTTTAAATATGCGCGAGAAGAATGCACGAGGTCTAAAAATGCGTTTCTAGATATTAAAAAATGAATATAAAAACTAAAAATACTACATCAAAGACTAATAAAAAAGAAGGCTGAAGACCGTGGCGTGGAATGTTAGAACATAAAGCAAAATCAACAAAATAAATTTAGACAGTAAAATTATATATTATTAATTAATCTGAAAGGAAAGAAATATATAATCTGTCTAGACAACAAATTCAAATGAAAAGTACTACAGAAATATGAAAATTAAGAATAATATTAAGATAGTAATATTACAATAGAGTTAATTCGTAACTTTGCAATTTAAAAAAAATTTAAATATGAATATTAAATTTAAGCCCGGTTGCACCAACATTATTTCAGCTTTAAGCGAAACTTAAATATATGTCTGTCTTTATTTATTTAAAAAGAAAGATAAAGATATATATTTAAGTCTCGCTTAAAGCTAAAATAACGTTGGTGCAATCGGGCCTTAGACCTATTTAAGCCTTAGGACATTCTTTAACATTCTTTAATCTTCTTTCTCAAATTGTTAGATTCTTAAATCTTTTAATCTTTTAATCTTTTAATTTTTTAACCTTTATTTTTTTAATATTTTCATATTTAAGGGAAATTTGAAACTTATCGATTCACTAAAAGATTTTAAATAGATATAAAAAGAATATATTAACATATATATCTCCAGAATTACAAAATACAAAAGTAATAATTTTTAAAAACAAAAAAGAATTTAAATAAAATTTCTCTGTAAAATTTTGATTAATTAATATAAATTAGTACAATATAATAATTTTATAATGCAAAATATAGTGAAATTAGTAGAAAAACAATTTACAAGTTATATAAATAATACAAGAACATTTTAAAACTTATTAATATATACTTATTTATATAATTATATATAATATTATAATAATAACAATAACAGTAATATTAATAATAATAATATATTAATTAATAACATATAATTTATAATATAATAATTAAGCTTTTATCGATATCAAAAAAGTCTATAAATTCAAGATGAATTGTTACGAAAATCTTCTCACATAAACAACTATTAGTAATTAATCTTCGCCAGTTTGTCCTCGCTGATTTTTTTGTAGCGCGGAATTTGTTTACAAAAGCGAAAAGACCATGAAACAGAGCGAACTGTTTGTCGTCTATCCGGTCCTCTACGTGGGAGTGGGTCTCTGGTTTTCGGAAATAACGATGATGCGAGCGCGATATTTCTGCCAGCCGCCAATCGCGCGTCGAAACTTTTACGCCGCGATCATTCTCTGTTATTATTTTTGTTCCTCATTATATATACTATTTCATTATGTATGCTAATAATTTCCCATACTTTTCGATACACTAATTTCAGATTACAGTTTGTTTTCTCAATAGTGCATCCTGTAGTGATTATTGATATCATATATTTATTATTAATTTTTCCGTTTGATTTGATAAGTTTTGATTTATTAAAGAATGTTTAAGCTCAAATAGAAAAAAACAAAAACAAGATTCAGCATTGAAACAGGCTATACATATTTAATTTTTACTAAAAGAAATGTAATTTTTAACATTTTTTCATATTTTTTAATCAATATATAGAACTTATATTTGGAAAAATCATAATTAATAATATAAAATAAATTTAAATTTGAAACTAATTTTTTCCTTTAATAAAATCCTTATAGATGCAAGATCAAATATTATAATCAAAAGTAATATTTATTTATTATCGTTTTATAATTCTTGTTTCTCATTTTGTCTTTTTAGTGAAAGAAATAATATTTTATTTTAAATACTACTACTCCCTTCTTTTTACGTAAAGATTTAGAACTGTTTATTCCTAGGAATTTAAGAATGGTACAGATAGTTTGTGTCGAACAATTCGAATAACTATAATCAAGTTAACAAAAGAATCTCACTTGATATTTAAAACTGCTTCAGTAATATAAAAATGTCAATAATGTTACAAATCGAGTAGACCATAATAAATAGTTGTTCATCTCAATAGAGAATTTTAGGTTTATAAATAGTGGTTTATAAATACTTTTGGTTACGCTTTTAATCTGAAAAAATTGGAGCGATTGTGCGTAAGGGGATAATTATTCTATTGGTAAATGTGCTGGTAAGATTCCACGACATAAATCTCGCGACATAATGTATGGCAAGGGAGATAATCCGAAGGAATTAAGGAAGAAAATGCAGACGAAGAGCCGTTCGAACGGCAACGACGACGGCGACGATGATGACGACGACATCGTACTCGTATCGTACGAAGGCGAAAGGTGGGGATCTATTCATAGGAGTGACTCACGTCGGAGATGACGCCGCGAATAGTCGGACAGATTTTGCGCGCCGCGATCTGCGCTTTCGCTGTATTTTCGCAAAGCTACGCACGGGAGATGAATTATAGCAAACTAAACGGAAAATTTGTCGAGAATTTAACCGCGAGAATTTACTATAATCGCGTCGAATTAAGTATTAACCGCGTTTAATAATTGTATAATTTTCAGTCTATGACGTAAGACTGATAACGATATCATAATTATAATACTTCAAATAAGAAAATTTTCAAAGTTCGAAAGAAAATATATAACATAAATATGTGAAATTTTTTTATACAAAAATTACACATATTATATAGAATTAAAAAAGAGAATTGTGTATGTGTGTGTGTGTGTGTGTGTAAAAGTTTAAGAATTGAATAATTTTTTTAAAGTTTAATACATTTTTATAAAGCTATAGCCTTTATATTTTTATAAAACTATAAATGCTTAGTTTCTAAAATTTATATATATTTCTTGCATTTATTTGTATAATTCTTTATTATAAATATAATTTGTATATATTATTAATATAATTATTAGGAAATATCGATCCATTTGAAGATATAATAGCAAACTTTGACAGAAAAAAAGAGAGAGAGCAATAAAAATAATATAAAATTTAATCTTCAATTTATCAGGCTTTTTTTTTCGTTATCTAACGACGCGCACAATTCACTTTTGATATCAATTTGTCTCTAGTTATTACGTAATTAGCAACGATTCGCGGCCACCTATAAACAACGAAACCAAAGTATCGCGTGGCTCGTTTTGGCGAGGCTAATGCGCGTCTGGTCTCCCGGTCGGTCCCGATCGCATTTTTCTCAGACGACAGCGACGACTACGACGTTGAAGGCATGAGTCACCGTGTATATCGACCCTAAGGCATGTTTACGCTGGCTAAGCGCACGAACGGCCATATGTCAAAATCACGATTGCATAACGTATCCCCCGCGTTGTCACTGCCATAGCGTTTCACTCTCTTTCGGGATATTTAGATATGAGTCAGTTGCGTGGATTATGAGATTTTCCTATCAGTGTGACCTTACCTGCTACAGGTGCGCCAGTTTTTCCCCACTTCGCTCGATATAACTTACTTTTGTTTGAAAAAATTATAAAGATTGTGAAGAATCGAAACGTTTTGCGCCGAGCCTGTAATGTATTATTGAAAAATTGTTTTATTTTTCACTAAAAGAGCGCGGACTAGTTTCTTATAATTTATAAAAATTTAACTTTTTATTAATCACTAGAAGCTATTCGTTCAGTAAAATATATTATTATTTAATAACATCGGCAGAATTTGCAGATAGTACTTATAGTCTCAGTCTCAACGGACGTTCAATTATTTCGCAGTTATATCTTTGTACTTAGATTTTTTTTCTAGAAGTAACTTTAAATACTGCATTGTGTGTATAACTTATACATATTTCAAACCAACAGTCTTATAGCGTGACTCGACTCTATTTCTAAAATCAGATGTGCATTATGTTATTTTTGAGCAAGAAAAAGAACATAAATGTGCAAGATAATAAGAAATTGATAAATTAAAACAGGATAAAACAGGATAAAAAATAAATTAATAAACTAATGATAATATAATAACGTATTGTGTGTCACATAATTTATTATCTGAGTAACAAGAAGTATGAAATATATAGAACGATATATAAAATAACAATAAATTTTTAGATTATACAATTATTAAGATTTAATTATATAATATATTAATATACTCTTATATTATAAAAGAGAGGACAAACGTTTTGGGACATTTAGAGTCAATAAATGAAGCCGAACTCGAAGCTTAATGAATTAGTCATCGCTCTTCAAAGCCCGGGGGGTTGCTGTATTTTTTCCATTGTACGCTTTTTCATCCCCCTTCCATTTAAGGGTGCGACGAGGTAGTCTAATCGAGGGGGAGCGTGCGCCTCAGAACAACGTACAACGCATCTGGATCAGCTGTCGATGACGATTATTACGTATGAGTCATCCGATACACAGCTCGTTTTAAAATGT